GGACCTATTACATTTGGTCACAGGACGTGGGGCACGAGCCCCTGCCCCTCGTGAGAAGGGGCTAGAGGGGGAGTGGCCCGTTGCCCCCCCCCCCCCCGTTCTAACGGAATGGATATGGAGCGGCTGTTCCAGCTGCTCGCGGAGAGCCAGGAGCGGCAGCAGACGGCCCAGCAGCAACAGCAGGCCGCTCAGCTCGCGCAGCAACAGCAGCGAGATGCCGCCCAACTCCAGTTACAGCAGGAGCAGCACACGGCCCAGCTCGAGCAACAGCAGCAGCTGGTGCGGCAGTTGGGAGTCCAGCTGCAGCAGCTGCTGGTTACGCTCCCACGCCCCGCGCCGGGGCCGTCGGGGGAGGCTGCGGAGATGCCGCGGTTAGCTGCCCCCCTTCGGTTGATTAAGATGGGCCCAGACGACGACCCTGAGGCCTTCCTGGTCACGTTCGAGCGGGTAGTCCTCGTCGCCGGGTGGCCCAGGGACCAGTGGGCCACCCTCTTAGCCCCCTACCTGACGGGGGCGGCCCAGGTGGCCTATCGTGGGTTGGCGGCTGAGGAAGCCCGGGACTACGACCTGGTGAAGGCCGCGATATTGGACGCCCTTGACGTCAGTCCCGAGACCTTCCGACAAAGGTTCCGGGGCCAGACTTACCCTGCCGGGGCCCGACCGCGGGTAGTGGCCCAGACCTTAGAAGAGGCTTGCCGACGGTGGCTACAGCCCGACACCCAGACGGCGGAGGAGGTAACCGAGCAGGTTGTGCTAGAACAGTTTGTGCACACTCTACCCTCCTGAGGGCGCGCCTGGGTGCTTCGCCACCGGCCGGCGACGCTGGCCCAGGCAGTGTCGCTAATGGAGGACTTCCTAGCCGCCGAAGATGCAGTGGGGCCCACCTTCCGACGGCACGGGCCCGAACCAGCCCGTGGCGAAAAGAAAGGGGAACCCCCGAGCGGACCACGACACCCCGCACCTAGGCCCGACTCCCACCGCGAGACCCGGATCCGGCACACGGACCCAGTTCCTCGGACCGGACCAATGGCCCCGGGCCAGGGGCCCCCAAGGGCTCGGCGAAGCCCCCCCCAGAGCCCAAGCCGAGAGGGCCCCCGGAGCAGACGACCTGAACTCGGTCCCTGCTTCGGTTGTGGGAAGATGGGGCACCTCCAGCGAGACTGTCCGGAGATGGATTGTAGCTATGGGCAAGTGTGGGCGGGCCACACTCGAGCCCGGCCAGCCATGAACCCCAAGCTGACCGTCCCGGCGGCCGTCGGAGGGCGGACTACGTGGGCCTTGATCGACTCGGGCTGTGGCCAGACGTTGGTCCGTAAGGACCTGGTACCGCAGGGCGATACCCGCTTCGGGTGCATCCATCTACAGGGCATCCATGGGGATGTCCGACCATACCCCAGCGCCCGGGTCCCCCTAACAATCGCGGGGGTCACCCGACACCTGGTGGTTGGGGTAGCTCCCCATCTTGCATATCCTGTGATCCTCGGTCGGGACTGGCCGGCCTTC